AAGAGCAGAAAGAATGTTATTCTATTGAATGAAATATGTTGTATCTTGCGTATCAGATCGTTTTACAAAATGACAAGGATCCCCTTTATATAAGGAGGGAAATCCCATCATAGTACATGAGTAATTATTACAAAGAAATATAGCTGGAACAACTACTTACTAGTCTGGTACAGACTAGTGTTCCCCTTGCAGGCTTTGTCAGTTTTGATCGTATGCCTTGGGAACTTCCTGCTGGTGTGTCGCAGCCGTTGGTTTGCACTGCCTCGAGGTCGATCATCACGAACCCTCGGGGGCGAACTCCGAGCTAGACTTCAAGCCTCCCGGGGGTGGTCTTTTTTGAGGCGCCCTAGTGATCACAAAATCGAGCCCTCTAATTTTCACCGTATGGAGACTCCAAGGTTGATGCCACCCAATAGAGTAGTACAATTGGATTTCAAATCAAGTTTATCTACATCCAAGGGCACTTCTAATTTGACCCATGAAAGCAAAATGGCACCTAATTTGGATGAAATGAAAGAAATACTTTTCGCCGTTTGTACATCAATACAACAACTTACCCTTTAACAAACAAAAAAAAAGAACTTAGTTAATCTCATTCCAACAACCAGGCAAAAGTAGCCCCAACAAGCTAAATCAAACTAACAATTTCAGAAATATGTTATTAACATTTGGGTGATTAAGACAATAAACTCAGTAACCTAAACTCTACGTCTAGCTGAACTCACCAACCATGTTATAAAAATCATGCTACCAGTGAAACTTGGACAGTGCAGTTTTGCTGGAGACATAAGTGGTGAAACCGACTAAGGAAAAGGAGCAAGCCAAAGCTCACTACTACACCAAATAAAGGTATATCAAAATGGCACCAGCGCAACAATTAAGAATAGAAATTAGAAATAGCAAAGCATACTTAAGCCATTTGAGGTAGACATGATAGCGCGAGCATTTAGTAGGCAGGGGAAGCCTGTGGGTTACACGTGAACACTAGCAGTAAGGTACGCTGGCATCTGGGTAGAATATTAGCCTGAATAGAGAACCCAAACTCTGCAAGTTATAATAAGCATCCCGAGTGATCAAATCATTTGGGAAGACCAAAGTATAGCTAACTAATAGCCACGCCATTTGTATCTCTTTTCTTTTATTAAGGTAGAATAAAGTAAGTGGAGGCACAAAACTGGGCAATCTAACATCAGACACAGGGTTGGACGTAACTGTTCTAAAATTTTCTAAGCCACTTGACTTCAATCTAGAAAAACCAATACTAAGAAAGATCTCCGCTGGCTAAACATTGAAAGAAGAAGGAAGAGATATGGAAAACATGCATTAAGGGCAGAGAATTGTTCAAAGAACTGGATTTTCAGTAGAAGGTACCAAAGCTTCAATGACTATCTTCAATGTGCACAGGGGGGTTAATTCCATCCACTGAGTCTAGGTCCCTCGGAAACATATAAAGTTGAAAGAAATATACAAGTGAAGGGAATAATCTTTAGCACCTCAACCAGAATACCTCGGAGAGGCAGCAAATTTGTAACCTTGCTCTACTATTTGTTTCATTTGCCCTTGATTTCTCTTCCTTGGCTACCAAAAAGCATCTCTAAAGAATGCCTCTACTAACTGCTTAGCACAAGGATATGATCTTCAAAAAAGGATATGACCCCATCCAAATGAGATGTTATCAGGGTCCAAAGACAAACAAATTCTTTAACTCGCTGCTTGCCGTAAACAGATGCACCAACTTCAGTCTGAGAGACAATAAAGTTCAGTCTCAAGTCAGCTGGTGCTGCTTAGGGAACATGGAGCACGAGATGCTGGACTGAGACAGTCCTCCTGCATCTTTATTTACACTGACGTAGTCTGACGGTCAGAGTGTGAAAGAAAGAAAGCACTGTTACCCCTTACCAAGCACCAAACTAAACTTGGAGAAGAATTCTCCAATCCACTGCAAAAACTAATCAAGATTTTAAGAGACTGCATATATACTTAAAACTACAAATTCATTACAAATTATGTTGAATCATTATTATTCTGAATCATCGAATCCAGATACAGAGCAACTGCTTTAGTTTTATGTGGCGGTCGATTCCCTTTCTATTCGGATGTATGCTTAAAATCCAAGAGGAATAACATTAAGTAGAATCTTAAGCATTCAAGATGTTTGGGTCAACATAAAATATCAGTAAGTAGCTTGTTACCAGTAGAACTGCAAACTCATAAGCAATAGAACTACTTACAGCAATAGTTGACACATAGCTCGTTACATAAGTTTGTTGAATCATAAAGTATGCTACACGTCAAGTGTATGGAATGTGGAATACCCCTTTTGGCTCATGGCCAAATGAGATGAATATAATATTCTTAACATCATTAGGTGAAACAAAATCGGTTAGACAATCAATAAAGGGACAAACCTCAACATCCTTGCAATTTACAGATAGATCAGAACAAAATATAGCTGAAGTTGTCCCTTCCTATTCAGCATCTTGAAACAAGGGCGTGGGTACCCTAAGAAATTACCTTTCTTGTAAATCAAAATGTATGTCTTATAACATATCCTGTACTATTCTAATCTCCTCCATAAATCAGGGGTCAAAACATCAAAAGATTCGTCGAAGTCCCGACAACAAATGGTTCCATCAACAACCTCGTCAAGAAGTAAAAGATAACCCCCAAGGCAATGGATATAGGGAGCGCTGGCAACGCGTGCCTACACACAGCTAACAGTATAAGTGTGCAACCTAATCCGCTTATAATAGCAAGATAACAAGCATAAACAGTCATCAAATCATACATTGCAGCTCTACCCACCAACACACTATAGAAAACAAAGTCTCCTAAACCAAGCTTTATCCCCCTCCCTCTCTCCTCCTCTTCATCCATTTCCCTCTCCCTCCCCATAACCCGACCCCGATTACTCTCATTACTACTTTCCCTTATCTCCTGATTCGCCATGTGCCCGTCGCTTATCAATGGTGACGTCTCCCCCTCAATTTCAACCTCTCTAACACCACCAATCTCCTCATTTTCACTCCTCATTACACTCCCATTCCGAGCCACATTTTCACTACTCGACATAACACCAAGCTCAATTGAATCCCCATCTGAGAACCCAGCTAACAAAAGCCCTAAATTAGGCCCTCTATTCCCTGATCTTGAACCCACATTGGGCCGGGCTTCATACACCAAAGCTGGCAACTCTTCATCCCTACTAGAAGCTAACTCCACCAATATCTTCAACGGCCCACCGGGGGCTAAAACCGCAGCCAAATCATATAAAGCAAGTGCAACAAGCACAACCCAAGTAGTCCATTCAGGTAACTTAGTAAACCAAGCTGCAACAATAATCCCCAAAGCCACCATATACATTTGATTAAGCAAAATCGGAACCCCTTGGGAAAATACCGAAATAACCCCAACAATGGTGAAATTAAAAAGCAGAAGAACAAAAGTAAACGAATCAATCGGGATATTGAAATGTTGAATTAGTGAAAGACAAATTGACCCACCCATTGAACCCAAAACGAAGAAGGCTGAAAAACGGATGTAATATTTGAGGAAATTAGTGAAACGGTAGTAATAGAGGATCACGAGGAGAAATGTAACGAGGGTTATGAGGAGCACGAAGACGAGAGCATTAAGGAGAGCGCCTTCGAGTTTAGTGGAAGTGGTGTCGGTGGGTGATTCGAGGTATACTAGGTTAGCGGCTGTACGGAGGACTTGTTGGTCGGAAGAGGAAGTTGAGGAAAGAGAGTAGACGATGAGAACTACAAGGAACATGCAGATGGAGACTGGTGACATTACTCCGATGATTTCAGTTCCGATCGTTTCTAATATGCTGCCGCCGTCCATTTCGCGTTCGCCGGCCGGTGAAGGGTGAAGGGCTTTGGAACGGTAGAAAGGGAGTGGTGAAGGGAAAATGGTGAAGGGCAGAAAGGGAAGGAGATTTTTTGAGGAAATTTTTCGGCAAAACTTATTTTTCCTAGTTTTGGAAATTTGGTCCCCTTTGGATTGGACAAGTTTTTAATTGGAAAAAGTTTGTAGGGGAAAGCAGAGAGAATTTTCTTTTCATTTTTCTTAATTAATTTAATTTAACTACAAACAAACTAATTTGAAAATGTCTTAAATTTTGGCCAATTTTTTGTCATTCCACAGTCTGTCAATGTGTTTGGTTCTCTCGTGAAATATAAGATTGCGTATAATTTGTATTACAACCTTATTTTCATAATAGAGGTCTCAACTTGTTTTTATTTACCGTAGGTATAAATCTTAGACACACTCAATGAAAGGTTTGAAATATAAATTATTTTCCATAAAAAGTAATATGTAATTATTGCATTTAGCTAGAAGTTATGTGTAAATCATATATTAAGCTGGTCTAAAATAGTACGTTGATTGATGTATCAAATTATACGGAGATTAGTTGTTAAATAATTTAAAATACAAATCAAATATTTGATAAAGCAATGCCAAATTTTATACCATGATTATTGCATCCAATCTTTCAACCAAATGAGCTCTTGGATTTTAGCTATATGGAATTTTTAAATTGACAAAATTACATTAATTCAGGTCCAAAAAATGATCCCTTTCTAAAGTGAAATGTGAACTTAATTATATTGCATTACAAAACATGAAACAAAACGAATTATGTTTGAAAGTCATGAAAATAAAATCACCTTTAGTACGAATCTAAAAGCAAGAAATATTTACCTTGAAAGTTATGGCGGCAGCTCAAAGCAAGTAATTAGTTTTTTAATAACAATAGTGTTCGAGTCAGCTTGTGTACACCTCGATAATTCCACGGATAATGGCCGCTCACACCAACAACAAATACTAGTTAACTCGATATGTAAGGCTTGGATAATTAAAAAGAAATTATCTATTTTTATTATATATTCACAAAGAAATAAATATGAATAACAAGAAAAAGAAAATACTTCAATAAATATGAATTATAATATAAGTAAGGATTATATTTTACAAGTACGCTACACGTTAAATAATTATTGTGGGGATCTTCGCAAAGAAAAGAAAAGAACTTAAAACCCTGCGGCCTATCTGGTTTATCTTCTCCCTCCATTTCCACTGTACCATACAATGGCCACCACTTTCCTTAGAACGCCCACCACCACCTTAAGGCCACCGTTAACCGCCGTCAACGCCTCTGCTTTGAAACCCAATTGTATCACGTTCTTATCCTACTCACACCGCAGACGAGGGCAGACTCCACTACTTCCCCGACGGTGTCGTATTCACCACTCCGCTAACTCAATTGTTCAGCTACCGCGCCGGTCGGTTGAGAAATTTGTAGTCTTTGCTTCAAATGGGGATGCTGCTGAGGCCGTTCAAACTGAGACTCAGGAACCTGAGCAGGAGGTACAAGAATCCGAGCAGGAGGTACAACCCTCCTTCCTGCATTTTTTATTCAGATGTACAAGCTCAATTAACTATGCTTACCGCTGAATTAATTGGGTTGGCTATTTGAATCATTTGAAGTGCCCACATCTAGGTGTTAATCCCACATTGGATGAGGGAATAGGCTCTTGTCTTCTTGTATAGTATTGGGGATATTCACCCCATGAGCTATGATTTTTGGTTAGAGTTATGCTAAGTCCATTTTCTTTAACACTAGGCGGAGAATTCCGAGTGAATTTAGTATTTCCAAGTTTCATCATAGTTAGCTTACTTTTACTTTATCCTCTTCCTTTTTTTCAAGGGCTAGTTTGTGACTTGGACCGAGTGGCGGACTCACGATTTTAAGGTTGTGGGTGTTCACTTCCTTTAACATAGTATAAGTTGATGAAGAGAAGAAAACCATGAAGAATTCTTCACCATTTTTACACAGAAAAGAGAAGGAAGAAGGAGATGAGATATCTCAGACAAACACCTACGTCTTCGGACTTTTCTATGTTGTGTTTGTCTATAGGTGTTTGTCTATATCTCTTTAATCAAATTAAAGATGAGCCTACACGTGGAAGAATCATGATGGTCATGATCTTTTAGTCTCAACCATCTGATTAAATTTTTAACACCTGTACATATGGAATATTCAAGAAGCAATTCTCACGTGCTTATCACATGAGGACATAGGAAAGAATATTTTATAGTTTTTCTGTTGCATTCTAGACAAATAGGAGTAGTACAAGTGTATAGGAATATTTTTTATTTGTTATTTTTCAGTAGGATAAGTTTGTATATATACCTTACACTGTCAATACAAAAATACAGAGAAAAATTCTCACATTTCCTACTGCTTCTTTCATGGTATCAGAGCAGCAATAGCTCGATCCAAATCTCTCTTCTCTCAAAATATAATATTCATCTATGGCAGGAGAAGAAATTGCCCCTACTCCTTCTACTCCCATTACCTCTGGTTCAACCAGTCAAACAATCTCACAGGATATGAATCATCCTTACTACCTTCACTCATCTGATTCACCTGGTTTAAGCCTTGTAACCACTCCTTTTGATGGTAGAGGTTTTGCAGGATGGAGGAGATCAATCCTCATAGCACTCTCAGCCAAAAACAAGATAGGTTTTATAGATGGTGTCTGCAAGGAGCCAAAACCTGATGCACAAGATCACCCTCAGTGGAGTAGATGCAACTTCATGGTGACTTCTTGGCTTCTGAACTCATTGTCCAAGGAGATAGGTGACAGTGTCATCTATTCAAAATCTGCAAGAGATTTGTGGAACAACCTTGAACACAGATTTGGCCAAACTAATGGAGCCAAACTGTACCAACTGCAGAAAGAGATATCAATGTTAGTCCAAGGTAACAACAACATTGCTGGATATTTTACCACACTCAAGAAGTTATGAGATGAACTTGACTCTCTCAACTCTCATCTAGTGTGCTCTTGTGACTGTGTTTGTGATGGGAAAAGGAAAGTAACAAAATTCTTAGAAGACCAAAGGATCATTCAGTTTCTAATGGGACTAAATGATGTCTATTCTCAGGCAAGAGGAAATATCCTCATGATGAATCCACTGCCTGGAATAGATTTTGCTTATTCACTCCTTCTTCAAGATGAAAATCAAAGGGAGATATATGCAAGACCACAATTGAATGCTGATGCTTCCTCTTTCATGGTAGGAGTTCAAGGTAGGGGACCACAAAGAAATAACAATCAGCCACAGCAAAGGACATGGACTAATTCACAAAAGGTTAACAACATACAACAGAAAGCTAAGGGAAGAAAGGCTAAATTTAATCCTAATGTGAGCTGTACACATTGCATGAAAACTGGACATATCAGGGGAGATTGTTATAGGCTAAATGGTTTTCCAGATGATTTTCAATTCACTAAATCAACACAAGTCAAGGCTAATGCTGTAATTGAAGGACATGACAATGACAATGGGAGCAATCAAAGCAATGATCCAGCACCTCAAGCTCAGCTTTTCAGTAAGGAACAGGTGTGTGAGCTGATGAACCTAATCAAACAGGCACAACTTGGAAATGCAACAACACCAGGAAATGCAATCAATGCAAATGCAGTAGCTGGTACTATACTTAAGTATACTGGAACTTGTATGCCAGCTTTTAACACAAAAACCTGGATCATTGACTCAGGGGCTTCTGAACACATGTGTTTTGATCCAAATTGTTTCTTATCCTTAGATCCACTTACTGTTCCTGTGCACATTAGGCTTCCTAACTCATTTCAATTATATGTCACACGCATAGGTAGAGTTCCTATTCAGTCTGATATGATTCTTGAAAGGGTTCTTTATGTTCCCTCTTTTCAAATATAATTTGCTCTCAGTCCATAAGTTTTGTGTCCACTTTCATTGCTCACTGAATCTAACTTCTAGTGGATGCATAATGCAGGTCCCTTTAATGAGGAGGGGACAAGTTTTTGGTGAATTAAGAGGGGGATTGTACCTGATGGAGCCTAGCACACCTATTGACTCAGGGGCTTCTGAACACATGTGTTTTGATCCAAATTGTTTCTTATCCTTAGATCCACTTACTGTTCCTGTGCAAATTAGTCTTCCTAAGAATCATGATGGTCATGATCTTTTAATTGAAAGAAAGCATAGACACCTTTTGGAAGTGGCAAGAAGTTTGTATTTTCACTCAAAACTTCCTATTCAATACTGGGGAGAGTGTGTTTTAACTGCTACATATCTAATCTAACAGGTTCCCTTCTAGAGTTCTAAAAGGCAAAACTCCTTATGAGATTTTGTTTAAAAGGAGTCCACATTATGAACAACTCAAGTCATTTGGATGCTTATGCTATGCTTCTACTCTATCACAACACAGAAGCAAATTTGATCCCAGAGCACAAGCTTGTGTTTTTTTGGGGTATGCTCAACATCAGAAAGGATACAAACTCCTGGAGTTGCACTCCAAAAAGGTTTTTACCTCCAGAGATGTTAAATTTCATGAAACCATTTTTCCTTTTGCTTCTGCACCAGTGAGTTCAACCTCATTTTTCCCTTCTCATCCTTTCTTCCCTCATTTGTCTAGCACTAGTGAACCTACTTCTCAGAATCCTTCCTCTCCCGTTTCAACCACTAATCATCAGGAACACTCACCTGCCCCTCTACATCCACACATTTCTGAGAACACCACCCCTGTTTCTCTCAATCATCCTGGTACTACTCCATCTGTTACCAGCCCTCCAGATCCTGTTTTTCCAACTCCAACTCCTACTGCCTACCCTGTTCCACAGCCTACAATACCATTACCACCACCCCCTATAAGAAAGTCTGAGAGGATTTCCCAGAAACCTACCTATCTCAATGACTATGTTTGCAATAGCATAGTTTTCTCTGATCTTACCTCCTCCTGTTTTCACCATGTTTCTCATCCTAATGTGTTTTCTTTTGGGGCCCTTTCTCTTCACAATCAGGATATCTTCAAGTCTATCTCTACAATTTTTGAACCTACTAGCTATGCTCAAGCTTCCCAAGACCTTGGATGGAGAAAAGCTATGGAAGCTGAAATTCAAGCTCTTCAACTTAATCACACCTGGGATGTAGTCTCTTTACCCCAAGGCAAGAAGGCATTGCCTTGTAAATGGGTCTACAAGGTCAAACACAAGTCAGATGGATCAATTGAAAGGTTGAAAGCCAGGTTGGTTGTCAGGGGGGATATACAAAGGGAAGGTATTGATTATTCTGAGACTTTTAGTCCAGTGGTCAAGATGACCACTATCAGATGCCTATTGGCTGTAGCTGTTAAGAAAGGTTGGGAGGTCTCACAATTAGATGTTAACAATGCATTTCTGCATGGAGATTTACAAGAAGAAGTGTATATGAAGCTTCCAGCTGGCCTCACTCCCTCTCATCCTAATCAGGTGTGCTTATTGAAGAAATCACTCTATGGGCTCAAACAGGCTTCAAGGCAATGGTATGCTCGTTAGCAGGTGCTTTAAGCTACAAAGGCTATTCTAGTTCTTTAAATGACTATTCCCTATTCTACAAACACACAGACACGCGCATATCCATCATTGCAATCTATGTTGATGATATTCTCATCACAGGAAATGATGCCACAGAAATACAACATATTACTCAGTCAAGAACTTGGGGCACATTCACTATTTTTTGGGGATGGAAATACTCAGAGAACAACAAGGATACATAGTTAGTCAAAGAAAATTTACCTTGGAACTCCTGGCTGAATTTGATTGTCAAGGGCCTGTTGTCTCTTCTCCTCTTGATCCATACTCCAAGTTGCACGCTGAATTAGAACCACCCATGGAGGATCCCACTATTTATCGACGTTTGGTGGGGAAACTCAACTATCTCACCAACACTCGGCCAGATATTTGTTTTGCTGTACTTTGCCTCAGTCAATTTATGCAAAGACCCTCGCTTTCACATTTTTTTGCTGGTCTCAGGGTACTCCGCTATCTTCGATCCAACCCGGGTCAAGGTATCCTTCTTTCCTCTGCCCATTCTTTTGATCTCATCGCATTTTGCGACACTGACTGGGCTGCTTGTAAAGATTCTCGTCGCTCCGTCAGTGGATTTTTTATTACCCTTGGAGGTGCCCCCATTTCATGGAAATCGAAGAAACAGATTTCCATCTCTTTATCATCCGCTGAATCTGAGTATAGATCCATGAGACGGGTGACCGCTGAAATCACTTGGCTTGTTCGTCTTCTTGCTGATTTATTTGCTCCTCCAACTTTGCCGGTCCCTTTACATTCTGACAGTCAAGCAGCGATTCATATTGCCCGCAATCCCGTCTTCCACGAACGAACTAAACATGTGGAGTTGGATTGTCATTTTGTTAGACAACAATTTCTTGCTGGTTTAATATCCCTCACCTTCGTTCCTTCAAAGTCCCAAATCGCCGATCTCTTTACTAAACCCTTATCTGGGGTTTCTCATACCAGTATCATGAACAAGCTGGAGGTTTTGTCTCTACCCTCCAGCTTGAGGGGGATGATGAAGAGAAGAAAACCATGAAGAATTCTTCGCCATTTTTACACAGAAAAGAGAAGGAAGAAGGAGATGAGATATCTCAGACAAACACCTAAGTCTTCGGACTTTTCTATGTTGTGTTTGTCTATAGGTGTTTGTCTATATCTCTTTAATCAAATTAAAGATGAGCCTACACGTGGAAGAATCATAATGGTCATGATCTTTTAGTCTCAACCATCTGATCAAATTTTTAACACCTGTACATATGGAAGATTCAAGAAGCAATTCTCACGTGCTTATCACATGAGGACATAGGAAAGAATATTTTATAGTTTTTCTGTTACATTCTAGACAAGTAGGAGTAGTACAAGTGTATAGGAATATTCTTTATTTGTTATTTTTCAGTAGGATAAGTTTGTATATATACCTTACACTGTCAATACAAAAATACAGAGAAAAATTCTCACATTTCCTACTGCTTCTTTCATAAGTACACAACTATTTGAACCCCAAAGTGAAATCAAAAAGTTAATGCGAAAACTACAATTTTATTTTTTGGGGAAAGAGCGCGAGATGCGTTTTGGGGGGAAGTGTACAAGAAGGGTTCGGAATCCTTTAGAAGCATTCATTTTTTCCCTTTCTTTGCCACAATGGCTAAGATAAATGGGAAGAAATCACCTAATGTATTTTGTCTTTACTAGGACTGCCCTTGTGTAATTTGTAAGTTGTGTGAAGATAGTCTCACAACATCTGCCCTTAGCTTTGGTTCAATAGCAAGGTAAAAAAACACTGGTGAGTGCACTTGAGTTTGTATCCTGGCTGGTGAACCAAGTCTAGTATTTAAGTGAAGAAGGGCAGAGCGGTATGCCCATAAAAACAATAATCTGGAAACATATAACATAGAGTAAATCTTCATGTTGCTGGCTAGAAAACTTTTACTTTATTCTTTGTCTATGCAATCAGTGAAGTTGGGTTTGATCTCTGGCCTAGGTGCGTTAAGAGCACTAATTATTATGTGATTATGCATGTGGATAGCAGTTGAGATATCTTCTTATGACATTACCTATTTGCAAGATTCCATGTGAGATGTCACTTTTACTTCTCTACATCCTTCAAATGGTGAACTTGCATATTTATCTCACAGTAGCTCAGAACTCACTAACGGATCCTTTGATTCACGTCTAGATCTAGTGAACGGATACATCTGGAGACACTTAAAGTTGGCATCATTTTTCATTTAGACACCTAAACTGAAGGTTGTTCCTATTGAGCACTTATACTACACTAAACTTGTTCCAATTAGGCACTTTTTTGACAATTAGCCAAACATACAAAGTGTGTGCAATGCACTCGCAGCTGACGTGGCGAATGACAAATAAAAAAAGGACATATATCATTTTGAGTTAAAAAAAAACTATTTTAAAATCTATTTAGTAAACAAAATAAAATAACATTCTCAAAAAGAAAAAAAACCTTAATTTACACCCAATCAGAAAATGACACATTATTAACAAAAGAAAAGACGAAAAAAGGACACATTGGTGTTCTTGAAATCATTGTTCTTGGTGTTCTTCACTATCTTCATGTCTATTCTTGTTCCAACCACGATTTTAATCCAAAATTTCAAGAGAAACTTCTCCAAATTTGTTATAACTTCAACTAAAGATTCCCTACCAAGACTCGAAGACAACCCCAATATTAATTTCTCAATTTTTCATCAAATCAAGTAACCCATTTTAAACCTTCAAGCTTTCTTAAAGACCCCATTAATGGCGTTTTGACTTCAAATGAAGAATACGGTCCTATTTCGGTTTCAATCAACTGAGACGGCTGTTGGTTCAAACTTTCGAGCTAAATTAATTGTGGAGGCACAACAATGGTGGAAGTGATGGGAAGAACACATGACATACAATATACATACAAAATTGTATTAAAGTCACGGCGATTCTCGGATGCTCCAAATCACCCAGCATAATATTCTTGTAACCCTCTTCATTCAAGAGTTTATGGAAGTATGTCTGCCATCTACGTCTAATGCGTGCCTCTTCCACCAATACTCTGCCATCCTCGTCGTTGATTATCTTCACCAGGTTCAGGTCTCTCGCCCTCATCTCTATCTCGCCTATAAAAAATTGTATTGAAGTCACGACGATTCTCGGATGCTCCAAATCACCCAGCATAATATTCTTGTAACCCTCTTCATTCAAGAGTTTATGGAAGTATGTCTGCCATCTACGTCTAATGCGTGCCTCTTCCACCAATACTCTGCCATCCTCGTCGTTGATTATCTTCACCAGGTTCAGGTCTCTCGCCCTCATCTCTATCTCGCCTTGGCTAGCCTGTACAACTTTTTATCCCTGCCTTTGTCTTCAAGTTCTTCCTACTATAAACGCTATTGTTTTGGTCGCCGTGACCGCTAACTTCACCTCCTTCTTCGCCGTCTCATACCTCTCCCTATTCGTCCTCTTGTCTTCCTCATCTTTGCTTTCCACTAACTTTGCATAAGCAACCTTCTTGGCTTCCATTTTCCCTGGACCTCCCCATTCCATCACCAATTACCTCGATGTCCACCAAAATTACCCCTCTAGACCCCCAACACCTCTCCTCTCTAGCTACTTCCCTAATGCAACCAGCCGTCCTATCCCACATATTAGTTACATGAAATTTCATGCCAGAAATGTTGTAATTGTTGATGCTGGTTGGTAACCTTTTGCAATCCCCCCTCCTCTATCAGGGTTTACCGGCTATTCGCAGCTCGTGTAGGCAGAGTTCATTAAGAGTGTGTATTCGGTATTTGATATTAGTCTATATCTGTCCCCTTTTCCTTACCGGGTGTTCTTTTCCTTAGACAGAGTGATAAAAGACAGTAGTTTTATTCCAGCATGTACTGGGTTTTGTTAGATGTATATCTTTTTCCGTATGGCAGGCATATCTATGCGAGTTTATACAAATGAAAGAACATAATGTGTTTAATATGTTTATTAGTTTTTTTCTTCATCCTTTTATATCCCTTTGTGGGCATGCAATGTTTTGAGTATGCTGATGAGGGCTATTGTGGTTTACCTTTTAACTTAAAACTTGACGTGCTGGAGTTCAAAGTCTTTGAATTTTGAAAGTGTACTGAAATTAATGTGTATTTCCGTACCATTGAACAGGAGAATGTAGATGGTGCTGCTGAAGATGCTTCGGATGAGGGTGACAACGCAGCCGCAGATGAAACTGCATCATTCATTGCAACTTCATTGCAGTTGTACCGAAATGCTTTAGCAAATAATGACGATTCAAAAGTTGCAGAGATAGAAATTTCCCTCAAGTCCATAGAAGATGAGAAAATTGAACTTCAGAGAAAAGTAGCCTCATTGACTGAAGAACTGTCAAGTGAGAGGGACCGAGTTCTTAGAATCAGTGCTGACTTCGACAATTTCCGTAAGAGAACAGAGAGAGAAAGACTTTCTCTTGTGACGAATGCACAAGGGGAAGTTGTCGAGAAACTTCTATCTGTTCTGGACAATTTTGAGAGAGCGAAAATGCAAATCAAGGTGGCAACAGAGGGAGAAGAGAAAATTAATAATAGTTATCAGAGCATCTCTAAACAATTTGGGGAAATCCTTGGATCTCTTGGTGTTGAGACTGTGGAGACAGTTGGGAAGCCATTCGACCCTTTGGTAAGTTTCTGAAACCCGTGCCTCTAATCACAAGTACAGATGTATTCCCACATAGATACACATGCTTGAATATTTTAAAGCTGCTTTCTTTCCTTGCAGTGTGATGCTTGTTTGAATAGATAGGTAGATATAGGTTGTATTGTTCAGAGAAAACAAAGTTACAGTTTGAGTTGCCATCTTCTGTTGTTCATGTAGTGATGCTTCTATTGATCCTTGGCTTTAATGCAGGCCAGTTCCCGAGTTGGCTCAAAATTCAGTCGAATTATTGATGAACTTTTTCAAAAGCTGTCTAACATCTATTCGGTTTTTAGGAAGACCTCGACCTGATTTTAAGCTCAATCTAAATCAGCATTATTTTGAGCCAACTCGGTGAGTTGACAATGTAGAGACTTATGGTATTCTATCATGAAGGAATGAAACAAGAATTTGTTCCTTTTGACTTGTAAATAGATATAACATTGAAATCTGTTTGCATCACACGTTGTTATTATTGTAATATGGGGAAAACCTCTTATATAGTTTTATGCCAAAAGATCATATTTTGTTACCAGTGTCTATTTAAGTATTGATTGGTCTCCCCATGATCAGCTGCACGAAGCTATAATGCGTGAGGATTCAGAAGAATTTGAAGAAGGTGTTGTATTAGAAGAATATCGCAAAGGTTTCAAACTTGGAGACAGACTCTTACGTCCTTCAATGGTGAAGGTGTCGGCTGGCCCCGGGCCGGCAAAGCCAGAGACAGCAGAGCCTAAAGAAGAGCAAAATGAAGTCGAGGAGAAGAGTGAGGAAGGTACTGCTGAAACAGCAAGTGATGAAGGGACAGGTGAAGGAGGTAACTAACTACCAGGCGATGATGTGATAAGTGAGGGATGTAACCTATGATTTCTCTTTTGTACAAGCAAACAAAAGGACATATTTCCTCGTTTGATTGAGGTTGAGATAGGTTTTTGCTGGTATACCTTTCAATTTTCATTAACTACTGTTTATCTGAAAGGACATCATTTTAGGTCAGTCGGCTTATGACTGCCGTCTTAAACACTATTTTTTGAGGCTTTGGATAGTGAGAATTCGTATAGTTGACCCCAACTAGCTTGGGATCAAGGCACAATTGTTGTAATGCTCTGGAAACAAGAGCTTAATGTCATGTGCAAAATGTGACCTGAATTTGTTCACTCTCTAGCCAAAGAGCTCCCTCCGTGCTCTCCTTCTCATAAAGAAGAAATTGTTTTATTGGGAAAATTGCACATTTAACCCCTCTAGTTATAACTGAAATACAATTTTTAGTTTATTGATGAGTTACAATCCACATGAATGAACATATACATTACATTACTCTTGCGATACAACCTGCACGTGACTTTCAGACTTGGGTGAAGGTAGAGGGTGAAAGAAACATGTTTGGTCAACTTCCTATACCATTTTGGTCAACACCAGGTAGCCACTTTAAAGGGCTATTATTTAAACATTAGCCAGTGCGTCTTGAATTTCAATTTTTCAGTTTAATATTTAGGGACAAAAGTGACATGAATTGTCCCGAAAGTTAAGATTTTTAGTTTAAAATTTCAGTACAAAATAAGTACTGGCGAATATCTAAATAGCATCCCTGAGAATGATTATGTGTGCACTTGCCCCCATTTTGGCCCTGCCTTATGGCCTTAGCTAACTTTCTTCATCCGTCTTTTTATTCCCCTAAATAAAGCTTGTAATAGATTAGTTTTCCTTCACGATCATATACTTAATATCACTACTCCAACTAGCACCTAGATATCATTATCGATCTTTAACACTAAAGAATTTCATCAAAGCACTATTCTGTTTGCAAATATTATTATAAACAGAATATTTCTCTAAAAATGTCTCTGTCATAACAAACGATAGCTTTAACATTTAATTCAAGTTTAATTTTTTTCATGATACATAAAATTAATAAACGACTTCTTTTACCATCCCATTTGTAGACATATATTTCGTTTTTTGATAAAAACTAATGTAACTAGAAAATTGTACTGATTTTTGGCGATAAGATTACACCATTTATTTAGTAGGACAATAATTTCAATCATTTTTCTTCTTTCTCAGGATACTCTTATATATACTATTAGAAGCAACAATGGACTTCTTGAGTTGTCTGTGTTATCAACATGCTTGCTGGGTATCAAGTGCTTCTTTGGCGTTTCACCACGGCCCATTAAAAAGTCAAGAGTCTAAAAGTCTTAAACTTGATAGTAATATTTAAGCGAAGGGGCTAAGTTTCATTTAGTCACTAACATTTTGAATATATCAATTTGATTATCAACGTCTTTCATTTGACCAAAATGGTCCTTTACCTCATTGGCCATCTAATTTCCAGCCTCGAGTGCATTATACATGCTAAAGGAAGAGCATGAGTGAAAATAGACTCTAAATTGCAAGCTATAAATATGAAATTTTAGCGGAAAATAAAAAAAGAAGAAAAGAGTGATATAAGTAAACAATTTTCTAAATAAACTACGAAAACAAACTAAATTAATACAAGGAGTAAACAATATAATTTTGAATGAAGTGTAGGAAAAAATTCAGATGATTATAGTACTTTCAGGGACCACATTGACATTCAGATGAAACTCTAGCTACCAAAAGTGCAATTCCACTTCTTTCCTCTTCCATACATCATATACCCAGTGAAACTGGCGGGAATTAGCAACACAACTACAACTTCCAAAACCCTCCCACCCCCTCTTCCCCAACTACGGCGAACCACCATGAACAACAGCAAATCAAGGAAGCGATCGGCGGCACAAGCGGTTGCAACGCCGTCGCCTCAACAGCAGCAGAAACACCACGCCGCCATGGAAGAAGAAGACCTAGACGAGGATGTTTTCCTCGAAGAAACATTGCTTCAGTACGAAGAAGATTCCCAAATCCTCCGTGAAATCGAAGAGCGCCACGCTCTAAATGAGCGGCTTCAGAAATGGAAACGCCCTCCTCTTTCTCAAGCTTACCTCTCTCAGTCCCAAAGCATATGTACGGAAATTGTATATTTTTTTTTCAATTTTCGACCTCATGCCTTTTCTTGTTTTTTTGGGTTAATTTATAGGAATTTTTGGTTCTGGAAGCTTCTTTTTTGTTTTCTCAGAATTTTAACTTATTTTGTGAATTTGGATGAACGTGTAGGGTTTCTGAAATTAGTTTATTTCAAATTAGTTAACCTAAGCTAGTTCAAGTGTTTATATGAGGAAGCTATTTTAAGTTTAATATTGGAATTTGAAGATCATTTGTATTAAATGTCAGTTCAGATTCTTAGGTTTTTTTCTTTTTATTTTTATGACTTGGAGCTTTGTAAAATTTTATACTTTCCTTGATTAGTACTACTGTAACTAAACTGTTCTCTACTAAATTAAGGAATAGAGTTCAGAAGGTTTTGTTTCATTGTTTAATCAGCTATTTTGTATTCATTTAATATCAGAAATCTAAAACAAAAAGATCGATTTTGAAGACAAAATAGAAAGAAAAGAACCTATTTTGGATCGCTCAAAAATTTATATTAGTCTGACGCTAATAGATAAAGTATAAACATTTTGTTACTCGCAAAAGTTTGAAGCCTTTTTATGCTCTTGGTATGAGGGGCAGTTATTTTAGTTCTTAAGTTCATGTGGTATCTTATTAAGCAAGTTTATATACTATCACAAAGATAAAAAATTAAGCAAGTTTATACATTGACTTGAGGGCAAGACACGTGGATCTGTATAGAAACTAATAAAAGATAGAAAGTTAGATAAAACAAAAAAGGTTTTGAAATAGATCAATTAGTTTCAATGAGTTCTAACTTTCACTATGTCGCATTCTAAAACTTCTGTTGAATTTTGGTGGTCTTCTCAGCGTTTCAGCAGCTGGAGATTGACTACATTATTGGAGAGAGCCATAAAGAATTGCTGCCTAATTCTTCTGGTCCAGCTGCCATTTTAAGAATCTTTGGGGTCACCAAGGAAGGTTTGTCAGTGCTTAATTCATTGTTGCAACATGCATTTGCAATTTTTTTTTGCTGTATTATAGTAGAGACAGTGCTACTTATCTGAGCAAGAAGATTTGACGCTGGCATGTCAAATAATATGATAATCCCCTCTAGGTATAAATGCATGTCATGAAATGGGAGTAGTTTGGTTGTTTTACAAATTAGGGCGTCCTAAGGGCTGCAACCAAGTACAATTTGGAACGTAGATTTTCTCTCAACAGTATAAATGTATTGGAAATAAATATGAGTTGAAATTGCATCTTAGTGAATTTTTTCGAGTTGCAGTATCTTATCTTTTTGCTTCTGGATTCCATTAACTTAAAAAATTGGTTGTGCCATTTCATTTTTAAAATAAAGTTATAGCTTATGTTTTTGTTTTTTTCTATGCTATCATAAGAAGTTAGAAATCAACACAAATAGCTTAAGTGGGTTATTCTTGCGATAGTAAGTTTGTTTCTCACACGTCAATCTTTCTTTATTCTTCACCAGTTGACATTAGTGACAAAAAAAATTTGGCCTTAGGTTCAAACGTAACTTGAATTCCATAAATCCAAGGTAGGGTGAGGAGTTGAATTAAGAAGGAACACAACAGCTTGGAATCCATCAAATAATGAGTTTATTGAAGTTGATGTAGCTTGTCTTCCACTTACTAAGAAATGTCTATTTATATGCTGGTCAGGAAATAGTGTTTGTTGTCATGTACATGGATTTGAACCATACTTTTACATCAGCTGCCCTCCTGGAATGGGCCCTGACGATATCTCCCGTTTTCACCAAATTCTAGAGGTACGTTGACCTACTCATTTTAAGCACGCATTGATTGAATTTTTGCACCAATTTGGTTTATTATTGGCCTATGCTGTGTTTGCTATATTATTCTTGTTGGTTGCTGCAGGGTAGAATGAGAGAGGTGAATAGGAACAGCAATGTCCCTAAATTTGTCCGACGCATCGAAGTAGTTCAGAGAAAAAGCATCATGCATTACCAAAAGCAGGCTTCTCAGCCTTTTCTCAAGATTGTAGTGGCACTGCCAACAATGGTTACCAGTTGCCGTGGTACGTTTTCTGGTTCCTTCTACCCTCTGATTCACTTATTCACTTTTACTGTATCTTTCTGATACAGTTGCTTCTCTGATTTATGCTTTGTTTTGTGCTTGTGGCATACACACACACAGAGTAGTAAAAGTTTTATTGATTGCCAAATCAAGAGCTAAGTCAGTGCTAGAAAGTACAATAGGATATTATCCGCAGATTAAAATAATCTGATCAATTTTGTATCAAACTAGTGAACTGTAACTTTGCGCCCTCCTCATATGTGTTATTTTTTTTTATTACAAAAGAAATTAAGAGACTAAGACATTCATGTTTCAAACTGCAAACAGCTGCAGATTAGCTCTTGAAACATTGCTGGTTCCTTTCATTCCATACCACGTAACACAGCTAAATGGTTCTCCAAATCGTCCGCTGTTTGTTTCTCATTTTACATCCAGTCTAGTACCAAAAATTCTTAGAAGGTCTATGGCGTTACCCATTTCATCCCAAAGTTGTTTAAAAAGAGGTTCCTCAATTGAGCAGTTATCGGCAATAATCTGGTGTGGTACATTAACCATTTCATTCACCCAAATTGCTTTTTGAGATTGTGGTATATTTACTATGGTGTTCTCTTTTCCAGTTTTGTATTTTCTTGACATGATAACTTTGTTTATTACTTCACATTGAGCCTTAGTTGAGAATAATGTAGTTGCAAAGTACGCTGCCTGTGAAATTGCTGCTTAATCTTCTCCATTAGCTGAAATTGCAGAGAAAAATTAGTGCTGGAGGTATTTGGGTTTTCTTTCTTCAACATCATGGATGCACCAGAGTTGCAATAAAATAGGACTTTTTATGATTGTTTATGTTCTAATTGATTTTATAGAATTGATTCTATTATGCCAATCCTTTTTCTCTTCTTTTTCCACTTGATTGAAATGTAAAATGTGGCAGGTATCCTTGATAGAGGTATTCAGATTGATGGGCTTGGTATGAAGAGCTTTATGACCTATGAAAGTAATGTTCTTTTTGCTCTTCGCTTCATGATTGACTGCAACATCGTTGGTGGCAACTGGATTGAAGTTCCAGTTGGAAAACATAAGAAAGCTGCAAGGAATCTCTCCTATAGTCAATTAGAGTTTGATTGCCTGTATCCTAAG